TCTCCCTGGACCCTGCTTTCACTATATCTGGTCTCCCCGGACCCTGCATTCACTATATCTGGTCTCCCCGGACCCTGCATTCACTATATCTGGTCTCCCAGGACCCTGCATTCACTATATCTGGTCTCTCTGGACCCTGCATTCACTATATCTGCTCTCCCCGGACCCTGCCTTCACTATATCTGCTCTCCCCGGACCCTGCCTTCACTATATCTGCTCTCCCTGGACCCTGCCTTCACTATATCTGGTCTCCCCGGACCCTGCATTCACTATATCTGGTCTCCCCGGACCCTGCATTCACTATATCTGGTCTCCTAGGACCCTGCCTTCACTATATCTGGTCTCCCGGACCCTGCCTTCACTATATCTGGTCTCCCCGGACCCTGCATTCACTATATCGGTCTCCCAGGACCCTGCACTCACTATATCTGGTCTCCCCGGACCCTGCATTCACTATATCCGCTCTCCCAGGACCCTGCATTCACTATATCCGCTCTCCCCGGACCCTGCATTCACTATATCTGGTCTCCCAGGACCCTGCCTTCACTATATCTGGTCTCCCCGGACCCTGCATTCACTATATCCGCTCTCCCAGGACCCTGCCTTCACTATATCTGTTCTCCCCAGACCCTGCTTTCACTATATCCGGTCTCCCCGGACCCTGCATTCACCATATCTGGTCTCCCCGGACCCTGCATTCACAATATCTGTTCTCCCCAGACCCTGCCTTCACTATATCTGGTCACCCCAGACCCTGCATTCACCATATCTGGTCTCCCCGGACCCTGCCTTCACTATATCTGGTCTCCCCAGACCCTGCATTCACCATATCTGGTCTCCCACAGTACACAGAACATGGAAATGCAATTATTTTTGTAAATATAAACTGCTAAATACCTTTTCTCGTCAGCAGTATATAGCAGTCTTGTAACTTTTATTAGTGTCCAGCAGAGTATTGCTTAAAGCTTGTAGGAGGAGTTTTCATTCTCCTCTGATTGTCCTATGAGGCTGCATGACCCCTGACCTCTGTCTGGACAGTGCTGATTGGCCCTGTACTGATCATATGCATTCTCCCAAGAAAAAAAAAAACCTCTCTAGCACTACACACCAAACTGAGCATGGGCAGAGTGTCTCCACACGATATGTCTTATCAGGAGATAAGAGGGGGACACTGGAAGAAGGGGAGGATCAGAGAAGACAGGATCAAACAGCATTTTTACACAATGCAGAGGATAACACCTTAGGTTCCACAGTGAGTATAACAAGCATGCTTTACTGCATATACAGACTGACTTTACTGCTGTGGGTTTAGTAACACTTCAAGGCATGCTGAAGTAACTTCACAAGCACTGCTAGTATTACATGTGATTCCGGACCATTTACTCTACAGCAGTCAAAGCAACACAGCTTAGTCAGGTATCTGCTTCTATAGTAAAGGAGCAGCAGCTCACTTATGAGGTCATCGCTGTGCTCCTTCCACCAATCAGCAAGCTCTATTTGTAAGAATCACCGGACAGCGCGATGCATAAAGATTTAATAGCTTACCACACTGCCTTGTCTTCTCCAGTCTGAATACTCCTAGGATTACTAGTATAAAAAACCAACTCAGGCAACATATAAAGTGAAATTAAATTAATGATTTTAATTAATTTACAAGTTATTTATAAAGGTATTATAATAATAAAGTTATTATAAGAAAAATATATTTAAAGAAATTACATTAAATAAAAGTGAAGTAATAAACACATAACTGAATTCAAGCAAGTGGAAGCTTTCAAAGTTGTTCTGTCCCACTTATATGTATTTTTTTCTGTGTTATATTGAACTACATGAGGTTAATATTGTTCTGTGGTATTCTGACATCTTGTGGTGATTCAGAGCCACTCAGTTTGTTTACTTATGTGATTTGGTATTTTCCTCTGTTCTCCCCTCTTATTTCATAGTTAGTTCAGTTCTAGCTAGACCCCACCCTTTTTTGTCCATGATCCCTCAGTCAGTGCTAGTACTTCCCAGAGACGGGGCTTAGGAAAATCATTGTCTTTTCATGCGTCAAACCGCAGCAAAAATGTCCTGTGTGCTATGATTATCTGAGTGTAAAATTGTGTTAGATTCAACTTTTTGAAGAGTTAAGCTGCCTGGGGATGGTGCCAAATCAGCAGGTGACCATACTGTCTTTACAGACTCGGGTTTATTTGCTAAAGCTGGAGAGTGCAAAATCAGGTGCACTTCTACACAGTTTCCAGGTTTAATTGCCAAAGCGTAATAGAACAAGCTGAGATTAGAAGCTGAGTGGCTACCATGCACAAAGGCACCAGATTTTGAGTTTAAATCTCCCCCAACGGGTCTAAGGAGGTATGTCAATGCATAAAGCGGCATTTAAAACACAATAAAAGTATATCAAAAATCAAAACGAGGGGTTCTTGGATAAAGGGAAGTTACAGCCCCTGCCGGGATTTTTTTTCTTTTGCTGCCCGTTAGGGATCTATCCTTCACATCCTGACCCTCATATAGACTGCTGGCCCTGCAGTATACATATATATATCTGCAGTATATATATATATATATATATATATATATATATATAATATGTACTGTATATGACATATTGTATATGTGCTGAGAAGAAGCTTCAGGGGAGACCGGAGACATGGAGAGGAATAAACCTGCAATATCAGGGATTAAAGTGTTTGTAAACCTCAGGCATGAAATCTGAACAAAACATATCCCTCTATAGTGTGTACTTGTCTCAATCCAGAGCACTAAGTGTCATTTCTGGCTGCTGCTTCATTCCTCCTCTATCTATATGAGTCACTTCTGACACGTTTTCCTGACACCAAGACAAAAATGGTGACAGGAGAGGGAGCTCCAGCAGACAACCTGTGATTGACAGCCTCAGCCCTGTGTGCTGTGTGAAGAGGGTGAGCCCCTTCCCTCCAATCAGCTCTCAGAGGTCTCTCCTTTAATAAGCTCTGATGTGCAATCTCACCTCCCAGACTCCTGTTTTCTGACATCTCAGACAAGCTTTACAAAGTCAGCTGTAGAGAAGAGAAGACTACAGATAAACAGGCACAATTTATGTAGGAGGACTTTTTTCATAACTTGAGGCCAGTCACCTCACTGTAAATATGGAAAGTTTTACAACCACTTTAATGTGAGCATTTGTACTTATTCCTTTCCCCCCTAAATAAATTAGGATTTAACTGATATAGTGCAGCGGGGTTTGGGGGGAGGGACAATGTAAAGGTAAATTTAACAGCAGTCGAAAGTTGGTCTTTAGTTCCTCCTAATGGGTGTTTTAGGGACTAAGGCTGTCTAGACAGGTTCTCTTTGTTGTAAATCCTCTGTAAGGACCTCGGGCTTAAAATTGTCTGTATATGACTCTTACCATGAGATGACATTCCAGGCGCCTCTGACGCTGGATCTTGGCAGAACTTTCACATACTGTTTCATATCACGATGAGCTGTAAATCTTTCCTTCATTGTATCTGTGATGACTGTGACTCTCCACCCTGTACTTATAGTAGTATGTAGACAGCTGATTGGACGCTTTGAAGAATGCTGCCTTTGTCTTATGATGTTTATATAAAATTCTGAATTTGTTGCAATTTTTGCTTGCTTTGCTAAATGCATGCTCGGCATAGTTTTCTATTTGCTCACATATGTAACACCCTCCTTGTTATGCATACCCACTTTACCTTCTGTACTAGGCCCTCCAAAAATGGACTAATTATTAGGGATGAGCATACTGAGCAATAGATCAGTTTGCTGGAGTTTTGGCGCAACAGGACGTCCGTGATCTCTGAACATAATGGCAAACCCTGCCAGGCCTGGACTGGGACAAAAAATAGGCCTGGGCATTTTAGAGCAGCCCCAAGCCCTGGAGCCCTTGCTTTGAAGTCTGGTGTTGGTGCACCAGGGCCCAGTCACAAGTGCAACCTTTGCGACCCCGTTAGTTCTGCCACTGCTATCAGTATTTTTGTTATTTTTATTTGATTTTTTAAATGCTTTTTACCATTTGATTTTATTTATTTTGTTTTTAATTATTCTTTAAAAAAATTTTAGGAGCCCCATGGGGGGGGGGGGGGGGGGGGGGCTTTGGTAAGATATCAGGGGTATAAATAGACCTCTGATGTTAAACCTTTGAAACAGAGAAAGGAGATTGAGTGTTACTCTAATGACGTCCATAGGAGACCAATGTTCTACTTTTTTTCCCCAGACTTTCGCATAGGCTACTTTTCAAGCTATTGTTAAGAAAGGGTCATGGGTATCCTGGCACTTCAAAACATTTTTAAATACTGTTCAGCAATCGAGGGTATTAACCACTTCAAAACCGGACACTTGCACCCCTTCCTGCCCAGGACAATTTTCAGCTTTCAGTGCTGTCACACTTTGAATGACAATTGCATGATCCTGGAACACTGTATCCAAATTAAATTATCATTTTTTCTCTCTTTTGTCTAGTGGTATTTAATCATCATTGATTTTTTTTTTTTTCCCTAAAACATGTTTTTCTTTGTTTCTGTTATAACTAGAGATGAGCGAAGTATTCAAAAATTCGATTCGGCTGATTCGGCGAATTCGAGGAATAAATTCGATTCGATGCGAATATATTCGCTGCGAATTTAACTTATAAAAAGGGTGTTTCTAGGCTTCAGAGAGCCTTTATATTAGTGCAGAACACTGTACCCTTAATTTAAATGCCCTTGGAGTCTGCTGGGGAAGAGAAATAATACTGTCAGTCAGTATGACATGCAGATGAGTGCCGTCGATCTTAGAATCACCGCACACTTCACTCATTTGGGCAGTCACGGGGCCAAAAACAGAGTGTGGAGCCACAGTGTGGCGGTGGAGGCAGCAGCAATGGGAGGCCATACAGCACCCTATGACAAAATGGAACCCACCAGCAGTGTGAGGAGACCTGAAAGTGGCACATGGCAGAGTGTGGCGATGGAGACAGCAGCAATGGGAGGCCGTACAGGGACCCATGAGACACTCTGGACCTGGCAGCAGCATGAGGAGGCGGTACGGGGGCCCATGGCAGATTACGGGCCTGGAAGCAGCATGAGGAGTCGGTACGGGGGCCCATGGCAGATTACGGGCCTGGCAGCAGCAATGGGAGGCCCGTAATCTGCCAGCACCCTATGACAAAATGGAACCCACCAGCAGTGTGAGGAGACCTGAAAGTGGCACATGGCAGAGTGTGGCGATGAAGACAGCAGCAATGAGAGGCCGTACAGGGACCCATGAGACACTCTGGACCTGGCAGCAGCATGAGGAGGCGGTACAGGGGCCCATGACAGATTACGGGCCTGGCAGCAGCATGAGGAGTCGGTACGGGGGCCCATGGCAGATTTCGGGCCTGGCAGCAGCAATGGGAGGCCCGTAATCTGCCAGCACCCTATGACAAAATGGAACCCACCAGCAGTGTGAGGAGACCTGAAAGTGGCACATGGCAGAGTGTGGCGATGGAGACAGCAGCAATGGGAGGCCGTACAGGGACCCATGAGAAACTCTGGACCTGGCAGCAGCATGAGGAGGCGGTACAGGGGCCCATGACAGATTACGGGCCTGGCAGCAGCATGAGGAGTCGGTACGGGGGCCCATGGCAGATTACGGGCCTGGCAGCAGCAATGGGAGGCCCGTAATCTGCCAGCACCCTATGACAAAATGGAACCCACCAGCAGTGTGAGGAGACCTGAAAGTGGCACATGGCAGAGTGTGCGATGGAGACAGCAGCAATGGGAGGCCGTACAGGGACCCATGAGACACTCTGGACCTGGCAGCAGCATGAGGAGGCGGTACGGGGGCCCATGGCAGATTACGGGCCTGGAAGCAGCAATGGGAGGCCCGTAATCTGCCAGCACCCTATGACAAAAATGGAAACCCACCAGCAGTGTGAGGAGACCTGAAAGTGGCACACATGGCAGAGTGTGGCGATGGAGACAGCAGCAATGGGAGGCCGTACAGGGACCCATGAGACACTCTGGACCCTGGCAGCAGCATGAGGAGGCGGTACGGGGGCCCATGGCAGATTACGGGCCTGGCAGCAGCAATGGGAGGCCCGTAATCTGCCAGCACCCTATGACAAAAATGGAACCCACCAGCAGTGTGAGGAGACCTGAAAGTGGCACATGGCAGAGTGTGGCGATGGAGACAGCAGCAATGGGAGGCCGTACAGGGACCCATGAGACACTCTGGACCTGGCAGCAGCATGATGAGGAGGCGGTACGCAGCAAGGAGGGGCCCATGGCAGATTACGGGCCTGGCAGCAGCAATGGGAGGCCCGTAATCTGCCAGCACCCTATGACAAAATGGAACCCACCAGCAGTGTGAGGAGACCTGAAAGTGGCACATGGCAGAGTGTGGCGATGGAGACAGCAGCAATGGGAGGAGGCCGTACAGGGACCCATGACACACTCTGGACCTGGCAGCAGCTGAGGACCTGGCAGCAGCATGAGGAGGCGGTACGGTACGGGGGCCCATGGCAGATTACGGGCCTGGCAGCAGCAATGGGAGGCCCGTAATCTGCCAGCACCCTATGACAAAATGGAACCCACCAGCAGTGTGAGGAGACCTGAAAGTGGCACATGGCAGAGTGTGGCGATGGAGACAGCAGCAATGGGAGGCCGTACAGGGACCCATGAGACACTCTGGACCTGGCAGCAGCATGAGGAGGCGGTACAGGGGCCCATGACAGATTACGGGCCTGGCAGCAGCATGAGGAGGCGGTACGGGGGCCCATGGCAGATTACGGGCCTGGCAGCAGCAATGGGAGGCCCGTAATCTGCCAGCACCCTATGACAAAATGGAACCCACCAGCAGTGTGAGGAGACCTGAAAGTGGCACATGGCAGAGTGTGGCGATGGAGACAGCAGCAATGGGAGGCCGTACAGGGACCCATGAGACACTCTGGACCTGGCAGCAGCATGAGGAGGCGGTACGGGGGCCCATGGCAGATTACGGGGCCTGGCAGCAGCAATGGGAGGCCCGTAATCTGCCAGCACCCTATGACAAAATGGAACCCACCACCAGCAGTGTGAGGAGACCTGAAAGTGGCACATGGCAGAGTGTGTGGATGGAGACAGCAGCAATGGGAGGCCGTACAGGGACCCATGAGACACTCTGGACCTGGCAGCAGCATGAGGAGGCGGGGGGTACAGGGGCCCATGGCAGATTACGGGCCTGGCAGCAGCATGGGGGAGGCCCGTAATCTGCCAGCACCCTATGACAAAATGGAACCCACCAGCAGTGTGAGGAGACCTGAAAGTGGCACATGGCAGAGTGTGTGTGGCGATGGAGACAGCAGCAATGGGAGGCCGTACAGGGACCCATGAGACACTCTACGGGACCTGGCAGCAGCATGAGGAGGCGGTACGGGGGGGCCCATGGCAGATTACGGGCCTGGGCAGCAGCAATGGGAGGCCCGTAATCTGCCAGCACCCTATGACAAAATGGAACCCACCAGCAGTGTGAGGAGACCTGAAAGTGGCACATGGCAGAGTGTGGCGATGGAGACAGCAGCAATGGGAGGCCGTACAGGGACCCATGAGACACTCTGGACCTGGCAGCAGCAAGAGGAGGAGGAGGCGGTACAGGGGCCCATGGCAGAGTGGCGAAGCGTAAGCAGCTTAAATTGAAGGCCATACAGAGGCCTATGTTAAAAATAATAACATGTTTGGGGCATGATTCATGGCGGATTTAGTCAGTTGTGTCAGGAACTGGTGGTGGTTTGAAATCCAGACTAATCCACGCCTGATTCATTTTCACAAACGTGAGTCTCTCCACACTTTGGGTGGACAGTCGTGTCCTCCGCGGAGTTACAATACCTCCTGCCGCACACTAAACACGCGCTCCGATGCCACGCTACTGGCCGGGCATGACAGCCTTTCAAGGGCAAATTCAGCTAGTTGGGGCCAAAGGTCAAGTTTCGTTGCCCAGTAGTCAAGGGGATTGTCTACCTCGGTTGGCAGGGTGCTGTCCAAGTAGGCCCAAGCCTGTTGTTTGAGGTCCTGCTCCAGGTCCACCTGATGCTGCTGCTGCTGCTGCTGCGGCTGGTTAGTAGTTTCCTCACTGCGCTGGTGAAGAAAGCTACTCATCATCGACTGCAGACTGAGGCAGCCGCTGCTGGTGGAGCTGCCACTGCTCCTACCACCCCACCCCTCCCCTGCTGCCATGGCAGCGGAACGCGAGCGCACAGGGCCCACAGTGTCTGAGGATGGACGTTGGCGCAGAAAGGCAGAGACCAACTGACTACATAGGTGGTTTTTATAGTACGTTATTTTGGCCTCCCTCTCAGCAGGTGTGAAAAAGGCCACCATTTTTGAACGGTAGCGAGGGGTCCAACAAGGTGGACAGCCAAAAGTCATCCCTCTGTCTGATGGTTATTATTCGGCTGTCGCTACGCAAGCAACCGAGCATGCTATGGGCCATTTGTGCCAAGGAATGCGAGGGACTCCCTGCCTCCATCTCCACAGCATACTGCCACGGTGCGTCTGGGTCCTCTGTCTCTCCTCCTCCTCCTCTACCAGATGCTCCTGCTCCTCCACTCCTGTCCGCTGAGTGGAAAAACCACCCATTTCACTCAATAATTCCTGAGCACCAATGTCCTCCTCTACCTCCTCCTCTTCTTCCTGTCCTGCCCCCACAGGGGTCATGTGGCGTTGAGATCTGTGCGCCACGTCTACCGCACCCTGACCAGCCATTGTTAACAGCATTTGTTCCAGGACGTGCAACAGAGGAATGACGTCGTTCATCCCATAGTCCTGCCGACTCACGAATAGCGTGGCCTCCTCAAAGGGCCTGAGCAAGCGGCAGGTGTCACGCATGAGCTGCCAATGGCTGACATCTAAGTTACACAGGGGAGTACCTTTATCCGCTTGTAACATCAGGAAAATCGGTGATGGCCTTTCGCTGTTCGTAAAGGCGGGTCTAACATATGTAGGGTTGAATTCCACCTTGTTGCAACGTCGCAGATCAGGCGATGCTGTGGAATTCCGTTCTGCCGCTGCAGCTCAAGGAGGGTGTGCTTTGCGGTGTAGGAATGGCTGAAATGCATGCAAAGTTTACGTGACATTTTAAGGATGTCTTGCAGTGGGATGGTGGATTTTAGGAACCGCTTGACAACCAGATTGAACACGTGAGCCATGCATGGCGCATGGCACAACCTTCCTTGACGCAGAGCAGACACCATGTTCTTTCCGTTGTCGGTCAACATGGTTCCGATTTTCAGTTTGCGCGGAGACAGCCATCTGTCGATTTCTCTGTTCATTACACTCAGAAGTTCCTCCCCTGTGTGACTACGTTCGCCAAGGCATACCAGGTGCAGCACAGCGTGACACCGTTGCGCCCTGCACATGTGATATGCCGGTCGGGTAATGGGACTTGGCACGGGGGGGCGGGTGGCGGCTGAGGACACGGCGGAAGAAGAGGTGGTAGAGGCGGACATCTTTGCTGGACCAAGGACGTGCAAACGTGGAGGCAAAAGCGGCGTGACCTGTCCAAGTTGCTGGTGCGGCTGTGCCGGCACCACGTTCACCCAGTGGGCCGTAAATGACATGTACTGTCCCTGACCGTAGTTACAGCTCCACACGTCGGCGCTGCCGTGCACTTTGGCAGAGACCGACATGCTCAAAGACTGGCCCACCATCTCTTCTACATGTGAATGCAGGGCTGGCACTGCTTTTTGGCGAAGAAATGCCGGCTTGGCACTCTCCACCGCGGCGCGGCACAAGCCATCATTTCTCGGAAAGGTGCTGAGTCCACCACTTGGAAAAGGGAGGGACTGCAGCACCAGCAACTTGGACAGGAGGACGTTCAGCTTCTGCACCGTCGGGTGCGTGCTCGCAAACTGTTGTCTCTTGGAAACGGATTCCAAGAAAGACTGCTGACGGAATCCGTGAAGAGGAGTAGCAGGAGAAGGAGCATCTGAACGAGCGGAAGATGCCAACGAGCGACAACTCCCCTCAGCAGAGGTGTTGGAGCCTTGACTGGCTGATAGAGGGCGATTGACGTCGGGTGACGGAGCAAGTAACGGAGCGGGTGATGGAGCGGGGGCTGGGGCAGGCAGAACCGCCGTATCTTTATCACGGTTTTCCCAGGCCACCAAATGGCGACGCTGCATATGCTGACGCAACGCTGTAGTCCCAACATGGGCCCCCTGGCCACGCTTGACTTTCTGGCCACATAGTCGACATACGGCTACGTTTACTTCCTCGGGCGGCTTGACGAAAAATTGCCACACCGCCGAGTAGGAAACTTTGCCCCCGCTACTCCTCACTGGCTGACTGCTACTTCCTCCGTGCACACCGGCACCACTACTGGCCGTGGTGGTAGGCTGCAGTGGAGCTGGTGCTCTACTCCGTGGCCGTTTGCCTCCACTGACACTGCTGCGACCCTGCTGCCTCCTGGGGCAACCCACCGACTGTTTTGCTCGCTGCCAAGCTGGCACCCTCTTCTCCTGATGATGCGGAAGCAAATAGCCTGATGACGACGAGGCTGCCAAGTGCGATCAGCCTCATCATCATCAATTAGGGTCTCCGCCTCACTACTAGCCCCCTCGGCTGCGTGTGGGTCAGGAGACAGACCTGTCTCTAGACCGGCTACCGAGCCACTCTCCTCGCCAGTACTTCTTCGCCTGGCTGCTGAAGAGGCGGATGTCTCCCCCCGTTCCTGACCGCCCTCTGTTAGCTCTTCCTCACTGTACAGTGGGGCTGAGCCCACAGCATGCGATACTTCGCTTGGTGAGGGAACACCAAAGGACAGGGGCAGGTAGAGGACACGTGATTTCAGTGGGCTTGCTCCCGGGCCATGCCAACTAACGGTTGTGTCTGACGTACCCACCGACCGTTGGCTGTAGGTGTCAGAGGTGACCTGGGAAGAGGAAGACGACCGAGCCAACCAATCGATGACGGCAGGGTTGTCGGTGGAGACACGACGACCGCTGGATGACACCGGGAGCACTGGCCTCTGGCTGCGACTAGTGCTGCCTCGACCCCTTCCTCTGCTGCCACGTCTGCTCGCTCCTAAAAAACATTGCCTCCTCTGACACTCCTCTGCGTGTTGTCTGACATACTCTTTAATTCAACGATTCTGTGTCCCTGAGTAACAATTCTGTGTCCCTGAGTAACATTCTGTGTCTGTCCCTGAGTAACAATTCTGTGTCCCTGAGTAACAATTCTGTGTCCCTGAGTAACAATTCTGTGTCCCTCAGTAACAATTCTGTGTCCCTGAGTAACAATTCTGTGTCTCAGTGTGTCCCTCAGTAACAATTCTGTGTCCCTCAGTAACAATTCTGTGTCCCTCAGTAACAATTCTGTGTCCCTGAGTAACAATTCAATTCTGTGTCCCTGAGTAACAATTCTGTGTCCCTGAGTAACAATTCTGTGTCCCTCAGTAACAATTCTGTGTCCCTCAGTAACAATTCTGTGTCCCTCAGTAACAATTCTGTGTCCCTGAGTAACAATTCTGTGTCTGTCCCTGAGTAACAATTCTGTGTCCCTGAGTAACAATTCTGTGTCCCTGAGTAACAATTCTGTGTCCCTGAGTAACAATTCTGTGTCCCTGAGTAACAATTCTGTGTCCCTGAGTAACAATTCTGTGTCCCTGAGTAACAATTCTGTGTCCCTGAGTAACAATTCTGTGTCCCTGAGTAACAATTCTGTGTCCCCAGTAACAATTCTGTGTCCCTCAGTAA